GGGGGGGGGTCAGAAAGTGAACCGAGTGGACTCGGGCCGCGGCCGTAAAACCAGATATAGTAGCGAGTCCGGTCTCGAGTTATCAACATGTTAGCTTGTGAACTTACCAGGCCCGCTCCGTCCACTTCCACGCCGGTAAGTGCTGACTTGAAGTTCTCTCGGTGCTCTGCTCCGGTATTCTGCTTCGCCCCCCCCCCCGGTNGGTCCCCCGATCCGCGATGTGGTCCGCCGGTAGTGTAGTGGTTCGTGGTCGGTGCACCCCCGGCGCCGGGTTCCGGGTTCGAGCCCCGGTGCCGGGGAGGATGAGTGTTGGGGTGGGAAACCGATATCTGTTGGATTGTCCAGCGAAAGGAAGTGTTCATTAACTATTGGAAAGAGTAGAAAGTTTGTATTTACATGGACAGGCAAAGTTTTCTATCAGTGATACGTTTGGAGACTCGCACAAGACATATGGATTGCATTTTGCAAAAAGGAACCAGAAGAATTGCGATGATGCTAAGATTGTGCATTTTCATCCTTTGCAATAAAATTGCTGAAACCATGAAAAAATGTGGATTTATATTGTAATTTTGTCTTAAATTTACAGTTTTTAGCGAGTAAAATAGAAACTGTTAATGGATGATCAGATTTTTCTTCCAAGACGAAAGAAGTTTCACAATCTTGGCAACATTGCAATGCTCCTGGTTCCTTTTTGCAAAATGCAATCCATATGATCAGTAAAATTTTACCATACGTGTGTTTAATTGAAACGCACGTGTAGAAAACTTTGTTTCTTCGTGTAGATACCAAATTTTTGTGTTTGAAGTTTTGTTTTGTTTATTTGTTTTTCTTAGGTGTTATCTTGAGATCTAGCGATTTGAGTGCTCTTGGCGATGATGGTACATAATTAATTCATAAGGTATCACGAGGTTGATTTTTTCTAAAAAGTTCTCGCCAAAAAAACAATAAAACAATAACCCTAAAAAGATAGAGTCTCTTCAGTTATCTTCTAATCTAAAACAGAATAATTCCAAATTATAGTAAAATTTAGACATGAAATTCAGGATACCCGAGGTATCAAGACAAATGCTTGTGAAGAAGAATATTCAATAGTTCTTACTCTTGAAAGTGATGATCTCTTACAGAAAATAAGAAAGGGAACTCATATTATTTGCTGAACCCTCTATCAAAACGTCGTTTACGAGATCAAGGAAAAAGTAATGAACAAGAAGTCCAGGAACCATTTAGTCCGTTTAAAAAGGTGACAAAATATCTTATGATCCCTTACCAGTATTTTCGGAAATGTTTACGAGTTATGGAAAAAGCATGTTACTCAGGGATTTAACGAATTTTTTGGTTTTTTTAAAGTACCAACTCCACTTAAATACCGCAACTTCATGAATGTAGCTTTGAGTACACCTGATAAATTTGAAATGGAACATGCATATCCGTCGAATAATTATGTTGACCGGTCTCCGGCATACATCGAAATTGCGATGGGAATCCATAATATCTGAAAGGTCCTCAAAATAATTTCCAAGCCGGGATTTGCTTGAGCTAAAAAATAAAGTGAAAATAGATATATTAAATTTGACAACCTGTGGAATGACCCAAAGTGTACATGAATATTCAGAATTCACCAAACATATATTTTACCTTAACTTTAAACCAGTTCATTTAATTTGTTGAATAATTTAATTTAAAAGGGAAGTAGTAAAAAGACTGTCAGGCAAGCGACACTGTGACAGAAAATAAGGAGAGACTGGATGGTAATAGCGAGAGATCGTAAAGAGTTTGAGGACACTTTAAACATAAAACACCATTTGGAATCCAACTTTCCTCTTAAAATGGGAGACTTATACGTAGTAATGAGTAACAGCAGCTTATTTATTGTAACATTGTGATAAATTATTAATTAATTAACCAATTTAACTGATCGGTATGTAATAAAACCAGATTTAATCAGCTAACTTTCAGTGTAACTGGTTTGTTGTATATTATAGTAATTTGAAAAATTGAAATGCAACTAAAATATATTTTGATATACCTGAGGGCACTCTCAGTCACAATAATGCGAGGAGAGGCGGGGGGATTATTATGAAAACTACAGTCAGAGATGCCGATTTTCGGTGCATATCCCTTCTAATTTTTCCAATAGTAAATGAACGCTGGTATTTGCTTGATCGCTCAACAAAATTTGACGGGGTTCAACGAACGGCGCCTCTCAAAACTTGGATAGGTCAAACATTCAGCAAATTAGAATTTTCTTGTTCCTTTTTTTCTTCTTCGCAATCCGCGGAGGAAAATCCGAGGAAAAATTGCGTGTGTTTGTCAATTTGATGATGTCATTGTTCATGTTCTGCACTCGAACCAAACAACCTTCATGGAGAAAAGCTGAGAGAAAAGACGCATGCGCAAACAAAATGAAAATATTATTGATCTCAGCGTCTAAAATCACTATTGATTTTCAAATCAACTTCTTGAGATTGGTCGTGCTTTTTTCAAACAATAACCGCAAATTTGCGCTAGTTTAATAATTAAAACTGCGACGCCATTAGTGCCGTGCTCATTGTCCTTCGGGCGTAAATTTTCATATTTCATTCCAAAATTAATTTTATAGTTGCTCTATTTGCAGGGAGGCATCATAAGGTTCTCATTGAGTTTATAAAAAGAAAGGTTTCTCAATGCCTGCAACGTACCTCTCTAACAAGGAGAATTTTCCGAACCTGGAGGCAAATTCTACATGTCTTTGAGAATAGATCCTTACAAGGAATTAAAATGATTTGTCTCTACAAAAATTAAAGTATTTGGGAGGAGAAATATTGGAGATTTTTCAAGTATTAGGGTGGGTCCATATCTGCTTTAATGTTTATAAAATCTTGAATTTTTCCTTTGCGTTTTGCATGTTTTTCAGGGGCAAATCATTTTTATCCCTTGCAAGGCTATTTTTTCAAAATTGTTGATTTGAATTTTACTCGGAACTCATAAAACTTGTCCTTTTTGCTATTTTGAAGTTCTCTTAAAATCCAGCCCCTCATGCATCCCTTTAAAACCTGCTTCATTGACAATGTAAATGACACGATGCCTTCATGGGGAAACGTACCGCTGTTTAAGAAGTGACAATGAGTATGACCCATTACGTTTCCTCTACGTAATAGCCTGAGACAATTTCCTTGGTTGAGGTGTTTGTCGCACAGTAATTATGGTGAGTGTCACACTGTCACATAGTCGTACTCTCACGATTGAAGCTTTCAGATCGGCAATATAATGAGTTCCGACCAGACACCAATAATTTTTTTACATCTAATACTAACTGAGATACTTCCTTTTGAGGAGGACAGTACGTGACGTCATTTTCCTCAGTTGATTTCTTCTATGTTTGATTTATCACCAAGTGATGCAATTATTTTTACTAATTGCTTGACGAACGAGACTGCTCTATAGGTAATTGAGGTTGTACCATAGAATATATAGAGTCGTAATGTAAATGGGAGAGCCAAGCCGGCGCCATTTTTAAGCATTTTCCAGGTTCCGAATTCCGAGACTCCTGTGTAACCACGGGTCACTTTTTCGATACATAATCGATTGTTTTCGATACACGGGAACCCCGTCGTCTGATGTAAATAAAGAGGACAGGAATTACTACATAATCTGTATCGTCATTTTGGATCGAAAATGTATTGAAAAATTGACCGAAGCTTGGCGCACACCAGGCTCGGAACTCGTCGGCCAGAACATGGCGCCAGCTCTCCCATTCACATTAGGTACGACTGTGTACTCTATGGGTTGCACAACCCATGCTATACATTATGATATCACGTAAAACTTTTTCTGATTTTTCTCCATCTTCTTTAATAAAATTGGGCGTCGAAACTCGGCGGGTCTTTTTTGTCTATTTTTATAATATGCAACCACTAAACTAGGATTTTGATAAACAAACCCAATCGCTCAATAACTGTCACACTTTAAGTAATGTGTATATACCGCGGGATTATCTTAGCTTGATCAAAACTTGCTCCGGGTGCCTTTCTTATGTTTCAGTGGCGTGGCGTGAATTGCGATATATCGATCGTTATTCCATTTAAACCTATGGTAAAGAATCGATTATTAAGGTGTTCGCTGCGAACACCCTATTTATCGATCCTTTTCCATAGGTTTAAATGGCATAACAATCGATTTATCGCAAAGCACGCCACGCCACTGTTATGTTTAGATGAATTTTTTCCTGTTAGAATAGACCCGTTTGCTCTAAAAGACGTAGGCTACGTAACTCTTACCGCGGAAGCTGCCCACCGGTCACTAGCCGCACTAGGCCACCATTAATTTATGGCTTCTCCTCAACTTGAGCTTGAGAGCGGCTTCCGAAGTTCTGGCTGGACAATAAAATACGCCCTTAAACGTTCTTCGGCGGCTGGTATTGGAATTAGTGCACAACGGAACTTTCAAACTACACATAGACAAAGCCGTAGACTTAGACATAGGTATAAACAGGGAGCTCTATCTAAAATAAGGGTACGCGCACAGGATAGCTGTGAAGAAATGTTTTAAGCAGAAAAATTCTGATATCTTAAAATGTTTAAATGATATTGCGGCCAGTTATAAGTTCCCCCAAGGGTGAATCTACATCGAATGCGAATGCAATGTTGAGCCGTTGCGCGTTGAAGGAATTGTTCAGACCGCAGTTTTTTTTTTTTTTTTTTTTTTTTTTTTTTTTTTTTTTTTTTTTTTTTATACAAACCCGGTATTTGAGTGAACAAAACCGATCGATAAAAATTCGTTTTATCGAAGGAGAGATGCGTGAATCTTACATGAAAGGGATGATTCTCCACTAAAATATCTATAACACTGGAAAAAAGTTGCTTGGATTCAGAGTCCATACTCTTAAAAACATCGACAAAAAAATACTCTTGATTCAATCGGATTTTTCCTTGGATCTAAGAGCCAAGCCTCTTGATTTAAGCGGATTTCCTCTTGATTCAAGCAAAAGTCCTGTTGAATTAAGAGTATTTTGTCTTGTCAATGTTTTTAAGAGTCTGGATTCTAGGTCCAAGCGACTTTTATTTCCAGTGAAAATTTTGTTCAGAAATTATGTCAAACGTTGAAAATCAGAAAATCCATGAAAGCCTGAAATTTTTTGACAAATTGAACAGCAGTTT